GCACCCGAAGGGGGATGTACAGTGCCTTGTGCTACCAGACTAGCGTGTGGTCACGTGTGTGAAATGGTGTGTCATCCAACAGACCCGGAACATAAAGAGTACCAATGTAAGAAACCATGCGCTAAAATTCTCTGCAGAAGAAATCACATGTGTTCCAGGAAGTGTTACCAAGATTGTGGACCTTGTTCGGTGCTTGTGTTAAAAACCCTCCCAGGTTGTGGCCATGTTCAGAAAGTCCCTTGCTACAAAGATCCATCTGAAGTGAAATGCACGTCACCTTGTACTAAGTTTCTATCCAGATGTGGGCATCGTTGCCAAAACATTTGTTCTGAGGCGTGTACAGTGGAGTGTACCACAGTTACACTGAAAACCTGGCCTTGTGGTCACAAAAACAAGACAGCGTGTCACGTGAATCCTACGCAGACTCCTTGTAAGGCACCCTGTGGAGAGACGTTGAAGTGTGAACACCCTTGTGTTGGTAAGTCTGAAAGCAAGTTTTCAAAATAGATCGATTAACTCATCTGGCTATTTCCTTCAACAAAAAGTAGGCATCGGCCAAAGAAGATACAACTAGCTTTGACAATGATCTCTCATCTCTTGCTTAAGTTGGTAAAACGTTTGATACCGATTCTCAGAGGCCGTTTCAGCAATGTTTAATTTCTCATGTTTTTTAATTGTTTTTTTTTTTTCACATGTCAGGTAATTGCAGTCTGTGTTTTCGTGGTCGAGTTCATGTTCCTTGCAAGAAAAACTGCGGCCGTACCCTATTCTGTGGTCATTCCTGTTCTGAGCCTTGTACCAAAAACTGTCCTCCGTGCAAAGAACCCTGCGGCAACTCCTGTACGCACAGCAAGTGCAAGAAAAAATGTGGCGAGCCTTGTGAGCCTTGCAACGAGAAATGCACCTGGCAATGTGAGCATCAGCGATGCACTAGATTGTGTGGACAGCCATGTAATCGTCAGCGATGTAACGAGCCGTGTAAAACGCGTCTTCCTTGCAGGCATCCCTGCATTGGTCTTTGCGGGGAAATATGTCCAAAGAAGTGCCGAGTGTGCAATAAGGATGAGGTCACCGAGATTTTCTTCGGAACTGAAGAGGAAGAGGACGCAAGGTTTGTGGAACTGGCTGATTGTGGCCATGTGTTTGAAGTTGAGATGATGGACCAGTGGATGGACCAGGCCGAGGCAGGGAATGATGGGAAGGCTGTTGATGTCCAGCTCAAGCGCTGTCCAAAGTGCTCAACTCCTATTCGTACCAGCTTGAGGTATGGTAACATTGTTAAGAAGATTCTTGCTGACTTCGAGAAAATAAAGCGAAAGATTCTACTTGGAAAACAAAAACGTGAACAAGCGGTTAGTGGGCTAATTTTGAAAGCGCAGAAGATCAAGTTGTTTCCAGAAGACCAAAAGAAACTTGAGGAGTCACTGCTTCTCAAGAATCTTACAGATGAACAAGTGAATGTGTTTGAGAACCAGATCAGCCTGTTGTCTTTCCTCCAGAACCTCAAAGTTAAGATACACAAAGGCGTAAACGCCGAAAGTGAGAGAACGCAAGGAAGCTTTCATTCAATAAGACTACTGGAGGAAAGGAAGGAAGGACTCGAGAGTCTATTGGATAAACTGCGACTCCGTATCATGAAGGTTCGGGCGCGGTTCAGTGACCAGGAATTAGAGGAACTGAGTGAGGAGATATACAGAACACAGCTTGCTGTTGACCTTAAGATTCTGAAGATGCAGCTTGACATCCGAGGACATAAGCTGAACGCCACTGATTCCGTGAAAATTGACCTCGTGCAAAGCGCCTTGGATTCTGAGAAAGTGATTGGTAAGTGGATTGACAATGAAGGACAGAGATGAAAAACGCAACAATGATATAGAAGAATAGCAACTAAACACCATCATAGGTGTAAAGTGCAAACAAAAACGAATCCCAGTGCTTGGGTAATTCTTTATTATAGCTGTGTTACACCACGGGCTGATGTTTTAGCGTATATAGGTAAATCCAATCTAAGAGCTCTTAGGGTTCAAACAAAAACACCATCGTATATATAACGAATCGTTGTAATTAAGTGTGAAGACAAGTGTTTAACACCGGGATGGGGGTGAAGGAGAAGGGGGCATCCAAAGAAGGCGGATAAGGGAAATGTTGTAACTAACTTCATTTGAAAGCATTACAGATATACATTTCGCAACTTTAAATGTGGTCATGACTTATAATACCATTTGTCATATCAAAATCCAAGCAAAATTGTTATGGTCATAAATCCCCAACCATATTGCGCACTCACTGTGTAGTTACCAGCATAACTTTGAAAATTTCTATTTCAAACATCTCTCCTAAATCGCAGTAAAAGAATCATGAACGAAACACTTTTTCTGGGTTCATTTTAGGAAAAGACGTCAGAGACCGTTATACAACTCGCATTAAGCGGATCGGACGATTGTGTGGACTTGAAGTTTTTTACCAGGAAGTCACCCGACAAGAAAAAGACCTGATTGTGAAGGCCATGGGTTTAACACAAGGACATTGGTTCAAGTGTCCAAAGGGTGAGTATAGCCTCTCAGTCTCCTAGACTATTCAGAAAACACAATTTCCAGCTTTTAATGCATTGGATAAGACGAGCCGACTCTTTTGAATTACCAATTTCCCGATGAACTCTATAACTCAATGAGAGCAAGAGTGATATATAAAAACAGTTGACGGCTTCCCTGGAATAAGCCAACACCGCCAACCAATCGCCCCCTCAACCGGCGCCCGTTCTTTCTTTCGCCGCAAATTTAAATAACGGCGCAAGCTTCACCACCTTTGTAACATCTCCACTCCTTACTAAATCCTAGGTTACCCCGCTGCCAGTTTGAATGATCCGCAGGTGTATTATCACTGTATTATCTCATTATAGGACACATTTACTGCATCACCGAGTGTGGTGGGGCGATGGAAGAGGGCCGCTGCCCGGAATGTGGCTCAGCGATTGGTGGTCATAGTCATCGTTTGAGGGATGATAATCGGTTAGCAAGTGACATGGATGGAGCTCGTTATGCTGCCTTTTCTGACATGGCAAATATCCACAACTTCGACCCAAATGACTTACGATTTTGACGATACTTTTAATTTCGCGTTGACCTTTTATTTGCCATAAATCTTAAAACTGTAAAAAATTGTGTTGAAGGAGGTGAGCGTAGACTGTGCTTTTACACAGCTTTCCTTCGAACAGTCAAATCCTAATATTTGGACCTACGTAGTGCTCAAGATTTAAGATACAGTAGGCATTGTTTTGATACTAGGTATTTTCTTTCTGACTTGTTCTTTTGTTTTTTTTTTTGCCCATTTGTCAGTTTTATGTGCATTTTGGAGAATTTTGGGGCATGAGTATACTTTAGAAAGGCGATCAAAAGGGCCTTGCATCTTGTTAGCGTTTCACTCTGGACAAATGGTTCAGGTTAAAAACTTTAAGCCAGCTTAGAGAGCTTCAAGGGTAACAGTTACTCCAAGGAGAAAAGGGTTTATTCCTTTCCTCTTTTCCTTCTAACTTCTAACAAGGGATAGTGATAATTAGCTTTGAACATATAGGAGACTCACAAGAACGAAGAATTGTCGACTTCTGACAGCTCGTCAGAAGTCCGGAACGCGGCTGTATGTAGCTGTTTGCACACATGTGATGAAAAAAATGAGATAGGCAGGGAAACCTTCCGAAGCCAGTGACTTATAAGATAAGTACACCACTGAAGGGGTAACTAATCCAAACGGAGTACACACGGTCATTTGAATTTATTTAACGTGGCAACGAGCAATAGGTCTAGAGTCAAGGCATGGTTTTAAAATCAGTTGAAAAGCTGTCTTGAATTCATTTATTCTCGAAGGTGAGAGTTCCATAGTTTTGGGCGTCAAAATAATAGGAACCTTAAGCGACGAGAACGTTGACATCCCGGATGTGCCCTGATTTAGTGCCCTGGCTCGACAAATTCGAACGGCAGGAGTTATAACAAAGGTATTCAGATTCGTTGTGTAAGGGATTTCGGATTCCGGATTCCGGAATTCGAGAAGTTTTTGCTTGTGGTATCCGGAATCCACGGCGTAGAATTTAGATATTGTATTGGATTCCCTTACATGGGATGAAGCGGGACATCAAACTTCCGGTTGCTATTTATGATATCCGCGACGTCGGCGTTCTCGCTGTTTTTAAAACTCGCTAATATTGTGAGTAGACCATGTTGCAGTTGTAAACTGAGTATTCTGGCTTTCAGCGAGGCTGGTGGTGACCCTGTCTTGACAGAAACCTCACTTCTTTTTAATTGCAAATCAAAGACAACAAAGTCCCCGCAACCCTCACTTTCATTTAAACGCTATGTTACTCAGCGTGCAACTAAAAATATTGACATACTGCTTTATATTAGGGAGTAGAGACGAACGGGTAGAGGGAGGGGCTTGAAGGTAATGAGGCGTTTTAGTAAGTTCTTGCAATTAATGTTACAAACGCAACTATTAGTATCTATTTTTAAATACATTGATCAGGTATTTAACAGATGCAAGTTACTTACTTGCATTTAAACTTTGCAAGGGTAATTTCATGAACCAGTTCGTAATAAAGAGCAATCGCGATAGTTCATGTTTGTAGACTAAGGATTTTAGGCAATTCTCGCCCTTCCGCTATGCGTTTTTAACACCTGAAGATACATTTTTACGTTGAAACATTGAGATTATTTCTTCAACAAATTTATCCCTATCTCCTGGACGTTCGGAATCTATGGGCAACCAATCGCTGGGAAAAGATCTCTTGGCCGTTTCCTCTGCATTACTTCACAGATACCGTTGAAATGGGTCAAGTTTTCCCGTTAAAACCCACGACCTCTCATTAGCTTTTACTGACCTACTTTCAGACGAAACCAGTCCGACGTTTAATGATTTTTTAAATTTCAATACAAAAAATACTTCATATGTGAGATAAGCAAAGACGCTTAACCCCAGATACCACCCTCGCAAATCATTTTACTAATGAATTCTGAAGACTATTGGCTTGCACAAACCCTTTTTATGCCGGGGCCGGGATGTCGGTGTATGTGTTTGAGGGCGGGGGGGAACGTTGGGTAGCTGAGCAGTTACACAGTGAAGAATATTCAAACGTTAACAGCGTACCTCGGTATTTCTTTACGTCATCTATATAGACCCTTTACATTTGATCAAAAACCCTTAGATCGCATCTTTCTACGTTTACACTGTTTGGTTGTACGCGTTTAATACCGGCAATCCAAAGAATTCTTCATCAAGGACTTGTTATTATGGACTATTCAAGCACATATTTCATTACGTTGCTCGTATTTACCCATGAAAAACTTGCAGAGGCGTTAAAGCAGTTAGTTAAGTTTCCTTGGCATGGAGTCTATCCTACACCAGCATCCTTGAATAGGGCAACAAATAATGTAATGCTTGATATATCGCTTTTGCATATACCCGCAGCCTGCGAAACCAGAATTTTTGTCACACACATTGTCACTGCTGGTGAAACTTTCCGGAGGAAAAGTGTCTTGTTCCTCACCGGGTGCTGGGTTTGTTCCTTGGGACGTTTTTAGTTGGGAGGTCCCACCGGATACCATTGTTTCCCGCGGGGATTGCTGAGGAATTTCCCCCGCAGCATTAGCACTGCTTGGTTGTTTAGGTTGTCTGGCACTGAAGAATGTACTGCCTACTCGCACATTTGTACTTGCCTTAAAATCTGTAAGTCATTAAAAATCATTTCTTTTTAAGGTACAGTAAAGTGGGCAACAAAAAGCTGCAACTTGTTATGCACCATTGCTGCAAAACAAGCTAAAGAGCGATGTTGCGCGTTTTACCACCCACGAATCAAATCTGTCTTGCAACAAATCAGGTTGTTGCAGGTTGCGAAAGTTGTTGCAGAAAGTAGAGAGTGGTTCTACTGTTTAAAAAAAAATCTGTACATGTCGTGCGTTTTACCGGCATGCACAAGGCAAATTTGTTTTGCAGCAAGTGACGTAACCACCGTGAATGGCGCGAGTCCCGCGTAATTTTAGTTTCAAAGCAAGACGTTAAGTTGAGGTTTCAGTTAGATACGCTGAAGAAAGACCTAAGGAAGGAACGTGTTTGGGCTAGCAACTCGTTTCTTGAGACCCTTGTCGCATAGGCGGGATTTCCGACAATTGGCACAAAGATCAATAAATCAATGATAATCCATGGTCAGGCGTCCCCAATCTGTGTTTTATAATCTAGATACCCTTGAATGCAGGGCAGGGTTTCTTTGAGCATTATGAGCATTTCATTTGCTGGTGTGGCACTATGGTGTTTACAGCAACACAGAAATCAAATACTACAACACCAGCTAGTTGTACCAGCCATGCATTAGGGTACCCACTACTTTATCAAAACCACTTGACACTCTCATACTCAGCTCCACATCTTCCTGACTGAGACCTAGTCTTTCACAGACATCTTTCCTACACTGCACTAAGCACCCGAACAAACAAACAAGACAAACGAAACAGAGTTACAGTAGTTGCGCATAAGTAATGGCAATTACCATTTGCTTCTCTGCCACGTGCCAGGGACAGTGACCCTAATAGGAAGTTTAGATATCTGGTCATGTTCACATTCATCTTTTGAATTTACATGTATGCTAAATCAAAACCAGCCAACAAACAATTCACATCTTCCTAATGTCCACACTCACATATCACAGCATTTACGTGTAGTTCCGTATTTACTGCATTTACTATCTCAGCACACCAAAACGTTTCTTGTGTAAGGAAACAACATGACAGCAAGGTTCGAACAAGAGGCCTGTTTCTCGAAGTCCCGATAATTAACGGGCCCAGAAAGCTGCTGTTGATTACATCCAAGACAGAGCTTTCAACAGTTGTTCAAATAACATGATAAAACAACCAGTTAACATAACAGAATTGTCTCTGCGATAAAGCGAGAAAAATATTTTATTCATGTTAATTGTCTAATTAAATAATCTCAATTTTGCCTTGTAGAGGTTTTTCTTAGTTTATTATTAACGGTAAGTCACTTAAATCAATGAAGGCGGTATGGACGTACACGGCACAACTGATGCCATCTCTTAAAGCAGTAAACTTCAATTACATCCTTTCAGTTAAAAACATGTCATTTGTTTGTTTGTTTGTTTTTTTTTTTTCGTCACTTGAAAATTACTTTGGATTCAGAACAACCAAGGTTAAAGGAAAAACTGATCATTCTCAGTCTGAGGTGGAATAAAAAGTTTTGAACATTTCCAAAGAGGAGAGTATTTTTCTGATTGTGCATTCGATTTGTGAGTTGATTCTGCGTCCAGTTCTTCACTTTTTTTGCCGGGCTGAATTAAAACCCGCTTGTATTCTTTTATTAGTGGTTTACGGTTGTTGTTTTTTTTTTACATACCCAGATTTATTAACTTTGCAGAACCAGCTTTACTTGATCCTTGTCTTCAGTCAAAGACCCTCGCAAGGACCAGGTATTAAACATAGTTTAATGGTGAATCATGGCTTGGCTGCGAAGCTGATCTTTTGCTTTGAAGACCTTTAGGTAGGTTGTTTTCATACAGAAAATTCATTTCTTCATTGTCAGCAGGTATAAGAGCCTTTAGCCTTCTCGGTTTTTTTAATGACAATTTGTTGCTCATTACGTTTTTCCGCCCTGTGGTGCTGACCAAGACGCCAAGCCCCCTACATTTTTGGAGACAGCACTGGCCTGGAGCCAAGCGAAAGCCTAGTGGCCTTCAGACAGATATATCGGTCATTTCCGGTTGGTATCCGCATCCAGTGTGACGAGACGCAGCATATGTATTTCCGGTTAATGTTCATGCGAGTGTTATATTCATCGCCTGTGAAAGAAATTTTTATACCATCGGTGAATCACAAGCAAATTCCTACCAATGCAAATGACCCACAAAAGCAAACACAACAACGCTGGATAAAAAAAGTAGATGCAAATCCTTGCCGGTGAGAACTCTGGAGCAACAACAGAACGTCGAATAGAAATTTAGCGCGAGCAACAAAGAGGAAATTATTACAATATTACTATAGGAGATGGCACAAGTTAGCTGTTATTAAGCAAATGCCACCACATATTCGCCTGAACCCATCCACTGTCACAACCCCATTTTCTTTTGACAACTTGAAGTACATGAAGGAGGGTCAAACATGGTGAACACGCTAGCTACACAGCTCTGGCTACGCTGCCTTAATAATAGCAACCCCATTAAAATCCCAAATCTTTTTTAAAGGCAGGGCACTCGGTTCGAGTTTACTCCAACCAAAAGGATATTGAGTATATCTCTGCTCCAATATTACAGCCACTGTTGAAACCCATCCTCCCCAGTTACGCAATTTACTCTATTTCTTTCCCTCCCTCCCATCCCTAATATTTTACGGGCCTCCTCTCCGGTGCTTCGCGAGGTTCTGCGATACAAGTACTTCTAGCTTATGGATGCACTGGGAAGGATTACAAAGCGCGCTCAAGAGCTACAGGTATTAGACCCCGTCCCATGTGCTTTATGTTCCCATTGTACACGCTGATGATGTCAGCAAACATAGGCCCCGTCCATGTATCCGTTTTCTTTTGAAAATGGAGATTTTTTTCCCTCCGGTTTGGCCTACCGTATACACGTATCCGGTAAAAGCGGTCACGTAAAACGCATCTTTTTAAAAAACCCACTCCAGAGTGGGGATTTTTGGAAAACACCCTTTGGCTGTACAGTCAACTCTCTCTCTCTTTGGTTCCGGCGCAAATTGTCCTTCCACGAGTAATGTCCGTCTTATAGAGAGTCAAATAAAGGGAGTCATGAAAGGCAGGTACCAACTCTAAGTGTTCGTTTAACAGAGGAGTGCGTCTATTAGAGAGTTAAATAAAGTTAGTGAAGAAAGGCAGGGACCAACTCTAGGTGTCCGTCTAACAGAAAGATACGTCTTATAGAGTCAAATAAAGCGAGTAAAGAAGGCAGGAACCAGCTCTAGGTGTCTGTTTAACAAAGGAGTACGTCTTATAGAGAGTCAAATAAAGGGAGTCATGAAAGGCAGGTACCAACTCTAGGTGTCCGTTTAACAGAGGTGTGCGTCTTATAGAGAGTCAAATAAAGGGAGTCATGACAGGCAGGGACTAGCTCTAGATGTCCGTTTAACAGAGCAGTACGTTTTATAGAGAGTCCAACAAAACGAGTAAAGAAAGGCAGGGACCAGCTCTAGGTGTCCGTTGAACAGAGGTGTGCGTCTTGTAGAGAGTCATTTGACAAATAAAGGGAGTAAAGAAAAGCAAGGACCAGCTCTAGGTGTCCGTTGAACAGAGGTGTCCGCCTTAGAGTGAGTCAAATAAAGGGAGTAAAGAAAGACAGGGACCAACTCTACGTGTCCGTTTAACAGAGGTGTGCGTCTTGTAGAGAGTCAAATAAAGCGAGTAAAGAAAGGCAGGGACCAGCTCTAGGTGTCCGTTTTACCGAGGTGTGCGTCTTATAGAGAGTCAAATAAAGCGAGTAAAGAAAGGCAGGGACCAGCTCTAGGTGTCCGTTTAACAGAGGTGTCCGTCTTATAGAGAGTCAAATAAAGCGAGTACAGAAAGCCAGAGACCAGCTCTAGGTGTCCGTTTAACAGAGGTGTCCGTCTTATAGAGAATCAAATAAAGGGAGTAAAGAAAGGCAGGGACCAACTCTAAGTGTTTGTTTAGCAGCGATGTCTGTCTTATAGAGAGTCAAATAAAGCGAGTAAAGAAAGCCAGGGACCACCTCTAGATGTTTGTTTAGCAGATGTCCGTCTTATAGAGAGTCAAATAAAGCGAGTAAAGAAAGCCAGTGACCAGCTCTAGGTGTCCGTTTAATAGAGGTGTCCGTCTTATAGAGAGTCAAATAAAGGGAGTAAAGAAAGGCGGGGACCAACTCTAGGTGTCCGTTTTTTCGAGGTGTGCGTCTTATAGAGAGTCAAACAAAGGGAGTAAAGAAAGGCAGGTGGCAACTCTTGGTGTCCGTTTAACAGAGGTGTTCGTCTTATAGAGAGTCAAATAAAGGGAGTAAAGAAAGCCAGGGACCAACTCTGGGTATCCGTTTTACAGAGGTGTCCGTCTTATAGAGAGTCAAATAAAGGGAGTAAAGAAAGCCAGGGACCAACACTGGGTATCCGTTTTACCGAGTTGTGCGTTACGAGAGAGTCTACTGTACTCAGGGGTTTTTGATAACGATTACGTCACAGCGTCGAATACTAGTAAAACAAATCAAAGGCGGAACCGATTTCAGTCACTACTGCGTTTTGGTGTGGACGTACAAAAACGATTCAAAAGTAAACACGCGTGGACGTAGATATTTTTTAAAAATGGAGAAAGGAAATCTCCGTTTTCAAGCAAAAACGGATACGGGTGAACGGGGCCTTAGTTTGTTGACATGATCAGCGTGCACAATGGGAACACGAAGCACTCTCGCACTGCCGAATTCGATTGGGCGAATTTTCTCGCCGTAAGCTATGTTATAAAACTCGATATCCGAATGCAAAGTGTTATAGTTTGTGAAGTAAGAAACTTAAGTATTGCAATCATCCATCATCTACGAAGTAAGACAGATGAGAATGCTAGTCTTTGACGAACCACTCAGTTAGCAGTCCGTGGCCACGTGCGAGAGGTAAAGCTAAAGCCTGGTTTTCGTATGTCGGGAAAATTGCTGACGATCAGGGATTTTTCTTTTTGCCGACCGTCCCAGATTTTGCCCGTATATCGGATAATCGTCACAAGTCTGTCCTAGAGACGCCATGTTTATGTTTGATAGGGGACTGGTGCCCAGCAACTAAGGGGATTGGTAATGGGCGAAATCCATCGCCGACGTCCCCGACGGTACAAATTTGAGTTTTCATTTGTCGGGAATGATCGCCTACCATCGCAGAAATTTGGGACCCGTCGGGAGAATAGAAACGCTCCCGATTCTTTAGATTTCTCCCCGTCCATCTCAGACGATCGGGGATATCTACGATTTCGAGTTTTCATTAGTAGGCATAATCTGGGACAGTCGGGAAACAGTAAAATCCCCGATCGTCTGGGATTTTCCCGACATATGAAAACCAGGCTTTACGGCAACGTTGAAAACAGTAACTAGATGACTTGCAAGTAAAAAAAGAATCCAGAACAACTGGAAAAACAATAAGCCCAGCGACAATTTAGCGCACACGGTATAAACCTATGAAAAGCACTCTAAGCTACTCTACAATCTCCACATGAAGACGGTCTTGCAAAGCTATAAATACGTCAATTTTGTCCCGATTTTAGAATTTCACCTTTCGTTGGGTTTGTTTACTTTCTTTGCTCACAGCTGGTTTCCTCGTGATTATCAGATTTAAAATATTCAGCGGGTATTCCCCGAAGCGGTTTTCGCTTTCTGAGAAATTAAGCTGGAATTTGATTGGATAACGCTTTTTGATTGGATAACGCATTGAAATATATTAAAAGCATCTAAATTACCTACAAAACGTGTTTAAGTTCCTGGGTAAAAACCCTTCTCACTTTAAAAAAAAAACCGACTGAAACGAGTGGTATCAGGATAAAATAAACGATTCAACGAGTTAGAAAGGAACGGACATTGTTATATACATCATGGGAAAAAGGAAGAATTGAAGGCAGCGAGCCACTGAGAGGTAATGAGCAACGATTCAAAAGATGTGAGTTGAATTTTAACTACGATCCTCTTGTAGCACGGACTGTAGGCTTTCGATCGAATCGGCGCCGAAAGTGAACTCCTGTAACTCAGTTTTCAATCATTGATTTAATAGCTGACCGAAATTTTCTTTGTAAAGGCCTTCAGTTTTGTTTTTCATTTCACTTTAAACGTTCGCTGAAGCCTTTTGTTATGGCAACTATTTTAGACATTGCAGACATTTTATACGAGTAGACATCGTATAAACTTAATTTCATTTCAGTTGCACACCTTTTTAGAAATTAAAAAACGACAAATTTAACCACAGACAAAAAAAACAAAGCAAATATCCTGATAATAGAATTACCAAAGGAAATTGAACTTAAAGGAAAGCCTTACTTAGAAACAGTGACATAATTTACTGAGATATCAACAGACCTAAAAACCGTGACGGATTTATTCAAAATAAGTCCAAAGGTTGTTTTTTTATGTGATTGAAAAATGGAATTTGTATTTCGTAGATTTTAACTTCCTCTTTCGTTGTTACCAGCGTCTAGTTCTCAATTTGCGTTGGTCATCCGTCTCAGGAGATAAAGCGCCGAGTAGGCAGATACATGAAACCGGAAATGCAATTTATAACCGGATACAAATTAACATGTCCTGAAGTTTGAAAAGTCTAGAACTCCAAAAAATGTTCCCACGCACAGTATTTGTATTTGCAGAAATATCTTACAGACAAGAAAGCCACTTACGCCAAATCTATCTTGAAACACTTGATTCAAACGTCACCCGGGCATGCGCATTTTTTCAAGTTGTGCATGGGAAAGTGACAGAGAGCACTGTGGATTTATTTTACTGAGGTCAGAGGCGTTCAGATGGTGGAACGTGGCGGTCTATGTTTCGCCCGCACTCTAATAGCTGAACGCCTGGACCAGGCTGAGGTGAGAGCAATGGAGACGGTCCTCCTTCCCCCACCGGTAAATTCCCAAGTCCTGTGGGGACAGAGAGTGACGGAAAGGGGGTCAAAATGGGATAACTGTTACCTGAAAATTGGTCAGAATTTTTTTTAAATTGAAGATTTTTTTTATCTGATGGCGATAGCTGTGATCTGTGAACCAAAGAATTAAACGATAGCTGAGAAAGTCGAGAAATGGGCTAACACCCTTTCACAAAGTCGAGCTGCAACCCTATGCAAATCTTCTGAAGAGGGATTCCTTTACAGTGACTTGATGGGACCGAGAAACGAGTGCAGTTGACTTAAGCAGATAAATAAAGACCATAGAATAAACTGACCTGCTCTATGGTGATAGAACCAACATGTCATGGATGATATCATGAGCAGAAGGGCACCGAAATATCGCAATCTACAGCTAAAAGGAAAAACATTCTGTGAAAATAACAGCCATAAGCCTGAAAGATATTAGCTTGCGAATAAGGCCGCATCTCGTCGCTAGGCACGTTTGGTGAAACGGGGAAAGATAAAAGGTGGTTGTCTTCGCGATATTTCTTTCAACACCTGCAATTTCTCATTCTATGGTAGTCACCCTCGGTGAATTTTTTTTTGCCGTTGTTTAGAAAGGGTAGTCGCAAAAAATAAAAGGTCGGATCTTATAAGACAAGAAGACATGAACGATGTTAAAGATGAGAAATGACATTAAAATAAACAGTTGTAGAGTGTCCACTTGCACACTCTTCGATCGAGTACAGATGCATCGAAACTAAATGACAATTTTTAAAAATTTCTTCTTGCTTTTAGGAAAAGCCACTCCTGATGTACCCAAGACCACTTTCACGTGGAAAACCACGTGAAACTGGTGCCATCAGGATATGTTACTCTAGAGAAGCACTCCTTGCCCTTAACCCTAATAGGGAAAGGAACGACATCGGAAGAGGAACAGCTGGAAAAGGGGGGCATGGTAGTGGCTTTGGAAGAGGGGAAGGCAGAGGAGGAGGAAGAAGTGGGCGTGAAGAAGACGGAGCACAGGGGCACAATCCCCTCCTAGCCCTTAACCCTAATAGGAAAAGAAATGGCATTGGAACAAGAACAGCTGGAAGAGGGGGGCATGGTAGTGGCTTTGGAAGGGGGGAAGACAGAGGAGGAGGAAGAAGTGGACGTGAAGAAGACGGAGCACAGGGGCACAATCCCCGTCAGGTAAGGTTGGGATTCAAAGCACTTCAGGAACTGGACACTAAAACCCCTGACGAAATCATTCTGGATTTGATGTCAAGCAGACGTTTCCCAGCTACCGAGTTTTTACTGACCCAGCAATCAGCCATGAAGGATGACTGGATTGTACTAACAGTGAGTATCGTTTCCAAAGCCTGCGGTTGTAATTCCAAGGAGTACTTAATTAAGCTACTAAACCTTCTTCCTAAATCACTTTTCTTCACTTCACATCTAAGAACATTCCTCAACAGGCTGTCCGCTTGCCGCATGCCTGCCACGGAAGTAGCTACGTTTCTAAGAAATGTTCTGAGAATAATGAAGGAGTTGCTTCGAATATTTCCGAATTCATACGCCGACCTTCCAGTGTCTGAGTTGTATTGTGGAATCAGGATCTTTTCTGACACCCAACAGCCTGATGGTGCCTTAGTGGAAGAAGGAGAGGAACTGATGCAGCTGAGGAATCAAAAGGCAGATGAGCTGAAAAAACGGGAGGAAGAAAACCAACACAGAAGGAGACCACGTAGAGATGGTGAGTGAACATGATAGTGAAGGTGAATAAGATTACGCCATTAACATAAAAAGCTGGCTGTATTTCGGAAGGTGAAAGAATCTTTAGTATATGACCGTGAAGGAGAGCAAATTTACGATGCTCAAAGCAGGAGTCAAACTATTGACATTTGACGCTTTGCTTTATGTAGTCTTATGTGCGGTCGTCCACGCAACTTTGAAAATCGCACTCGCAGGTTAGGATGTTAAAGCAGGAGTCAAACTATTGACATTTGACGCTTTGCTTTATGTAGTCTTATGGAATGACTTCCAATTCCTTTTATAAATTAATGTCCAAAACACACAGTTTGCAAAAGATGACTTTATAATGGCGGCTTTTGTTTCCTTTAACGCCCCAAAATAGGTCCCATAAAAAAATGTTTCTAAATGTGGCAACACATCACATTTTTTGTAATTTTTGGTTATAGTTGGAGAGAATGATGATGTAGATCCACCTGATAATTTCCGAGAGTACAGCGTTATACCAACGCAGCAGGACATCTTGACAGGAGAACGTCCCTTCCTCAGAAGGAACAAAACTGACGGTAGCTACAATGATGCAGAACATTATTTGGACGTGCAATTTCGTCTCCTTCGTGAAGACTTCGTAAGGCCCCTACGTGAAGGAATTGCTAAGCTGTTAGAGCGCATTGGCTCTGCCAAGATTGGTGCCCTTCAAGACATCCGCGTGTACAAAGATGTCCGACTTTTATACCCTATATGTACGACGGACGGACTTCGGTACAGGATTAAATTTGATAACACCAGGTTAAGAAATGTGCGCTGGGAGAACAGCAAACGATTGATCTTTGGTTCGCTGATGTGTCTTTCTAAGGACAAGTTTGAAAGTTTTGTGTTTGCTACCATAGCAAATCGCGGTGCTAAAGAACTAAAACAGGTATTGAAGCTCTCGTCTTTTTTCCACAAAGTTTTGATCCTCGCATTCTGCCTAATATCAACACTAAATGATAACAAAACATTTACAAGATCATGTCATTTTTGAGACCCAAGTATGTTTTCGATGTGAGGAATATACTTTAATCGATCAAAGCAAAACAGGATCAAACTTTCAAATTCTTTTTTCCAAAGACAAGTTGTCAGCCTGGCTTGACAAAAGTGTGTTTAAGTAAAGACGTTTTTAAGTGACACACGTCAACGGGAAGTGGACTTTTTGCATTCTTGGAAGTGGTTTTGCTCGCATTTTCGGGCAAATCGTCCTTATAAGAGTACACACTTAGCGATACAAATTTGGCAGCGTCAAGGTCTTTAAAATTCTCACTTCCGGTTGACGTGTGTTGCTCAAAAACGCCTTTGCTTAAGTACCCTTTGCCTGATCACTTCCTTTCTTAAACGTTAAGAATTTTATCGAGAAATTTCTGCCATTTGTAATTTTTTTCCCATGTAGGGTATAGTGGACATACAGTTCATCAATCTTTCTGATTATGTAAGACTTGAAGAAGGAGACGTGTTTCAGATGGTAGAAAGCACTGTGTACTTTGAAGCCTATCGTCATATACTGGAAGGACTCAAGGAGGTGGATCCCAGACGTCTGCCGTTGCAGGTTTGAAGCGCACTTCTTTCATAACCCGAGCAAGAAAATCACTCTATTCGCTTCAAAGACAATTCTCCTTCAAGCAATAATAGATAGGTTCTTTTAAGTGGTGACCATTGGGCTTACAATTTTGGAGGTGCGCAGGTGTTGCAGTCTTATAACGTTGCCTGCATTAAATCTGATGTGAGGTTTCTTAGTTTTTCCCAAATTTTGAGTTAGTAATTCTCTAGTTAGCCGTTAATAGACAGTGACGAAGACTGTCCTGTGATGCTTTTATCAAAACAGAAGTACATTGTAAACTGTGAGAAAGAAGTTGACCCACCAGCCTACTTGAGGAACAGATACCGGGGAAGAGTAACTTTTGACCTCACACCCATTATGAAGAAGCAGACCGGAAATTCAACTTCCAGGTATGAGAAAAAATTATTGCGGGCATCTAATCTCCAAGATGCCATTACGCATACGCGGCACTTATGGAAAAAGCATTCGTTCGGACTCCCGCTAAGAATGATTGGAATGCATAGAACGCAATCTGATGACGCGTGTTTTGACTACCACAGCAGGATTACCTCATGTAGGGAAATATATGAAATGACTTATATTTTGAACTCAGGTCAGTCAGTAGAGCACTTGACTGCAGAGCGGGAGGTCGCGGGTTCGATTCTCTGCGCCGGACAATAGTCGGGGTCTTAAACAAGTGAGAAATGAAGGTACTGCCCTTTGCCCTGCAGGCGGCTAGACCTTCGCGTGCCTCGAATGACCACGTAAAATGGCGGTCCCGTCTCCACTTGTAGACGTAAAAATAGTGTCCCCAATAGCACTTCTGTGCTCAATACATTGAATGTCAAATAAAGTGCATTTTTATCACTTGAAACTTACGCAAAGCACCAGCGATGGAGCAGCCTTCGATTTCATGCCTGAAACACCTTGCATAGATCTCGACCGCACTTCCCAACCTTTATTGACAGTTTTACAGGGAAAAGAATTATGTTCCTTTATGTGCTTGTAAAGTTCACCTTGAACTTGAAGTTTCACATCTTGAACTTAAAGTTGCGAAAATTCAAGGCCTTAAAAGTCCACTCTGTATTTAGTGCGTGCAAAAACTTGTTAATTTAAGATAATAGGTGCGAGGGTGTAAAAGTTCCATAAAAAGGTGTGACTGCGCGATTTACACGCAGCGCTCATGAATCACCTGACCTTGCTTTTGTCAAGAAAAGACTTTTGCTCTTTAATTGAAGTTAGAGTTCGTAGTTGACAAAAGTAAACAAAGCTAACTAAAACACCTTTAAACTGTAATTGGATAATGAGTAAATTAACAAGAATCTACTGCACAGGGACTCTGGTGCTATTAGCGAGAAGGGAAAATGTAAGACCTTTACCACCATATTTGACTATACTTGACGGTTTTGTTCGATTCGGTTTTTGCAGTTCCTATCTAACACAGTTGAGGGCACGACTCGCCGGGTTGAACCTCCAAGATGACCCTTGCAGGGGTAAGTATAACGCATTTTCAGGTACCTTAATTTTGTAATGGATGTATGCTCCTGGATAGGCCTGTGTATTATATGAATAACTAGACTGAGAGCCGTCTCTTCCTTTTCTTTTGAGACACGGTAGATCACGAGCTCCCGTGATTCGCGCGCAATTGTACTTTTTCCCTCGCCACGCGTGGGTGTGAGGAAAGAGGGACGACCGCTTGCGGTCTAATGAATCACCAATCAGCAGCCTCTACAAGACTGGCTTTCCTTTATCCCGCTGGGTTACGATGAATAATTTCGCGGAACTAAACCACTTGAAACCTAGAACCCTCAAAGAGTTTACTGGCATAAAATGCAAAAATTTCTACCAGACAGAGATTGATGTTAAAAGAAAAGCGCAAAATAAGCCTAAAGAATCCCTACGACATGTTCTTTGCTCCTTTCCACTTCCTCATTTATACATTTACACATGTTAAAAACGCCGTACTCATAGGCTTACCGCCATAAAGAGGCAACCAAGAGACATCTGTTTAAGATGCACAGGGCAGTGGAAATCCAGATTTTAAATCCACCCATGGACGGGGTACACATTTAGACCAGCAATAGTTCTCACTACATCTGCTCCCGCCTTAGAAATGACGTTTATTTGTTTATGACATTTTAAAACTTCGCGAAAAACGTTATAGGGAGGGTTAAGCTCCGAACATAGTGATTAGTGCTAAGCGCCGACAAAAGTGATTAGGCATAAGCGCTGACTCGAAATGGCTACCTTTCCTTTACTCTTAGGTTTGTAGCTATAGCAGTCGAATCCAGTCGGTTTCTAGGACCGCGGCTTCGAATTTCGCTTATGCCACATTCAAGCTCCGTTTTTTCTTTCTAAAACAATTGATAGAAATTTCATGCAAGTGAAGCTAGAGGGGAAGGGGTCAACGACATGTTTCCCAGATTTCCCAATACCACCTTGGGCGCTTGCTGAAACAGAATTACCCAAGACCACCGTGCACGCATGCAGAAAAATTAACCGGGACCACTTTGCGGGCCTAGCTTCTTTAAATCGAGAAGATTTCGCATATTACCAATACCGCGAAAAAACGATACTTCTTTACGCGGGGGAAGTTAGGATGCCTCCGCGGGTTACGGCCTCTGGGCCACAACTCTGAGGGGGCAATAAGAAAGCAGTCGAACTTTAGAATTGACATATGTCCTGAAATGCACGCAACAACGAAAATGGCCATTGCCCCATTTCTGGACATAAGTGACATAATCGAAATGACTTGTTTGTACCCACAACATAAGAACACGTTTCTCCTCTCCAAAGGAAGCGACGTTCCAATTCTGAGTCTAGCCTACTGGCCGTCCGCGAAAGATCTGGAACTAGACGACTCCCAGTACAGGGCATTACAGATGGCGCTGACCAAAGAGTTCGCGGTCATTCAAGGACCACCAGGCACTGGGAAGACATACATTGGACTAAAAGTACGGGAAAACGTCCAAAAATAGTTAAAAACATGGTCTCGAACAGACCTCTTGCTGGTCGAAATGATTAATTTGGAGATTTCTGCCTGCTCTAAAAAGTCGTAGACTAACAAATACGACGGTAAATTGTCTAACTTTGATAGTAAAGGAGGGGTTCGATGGTTGGTATGTTACTCAGAACCTTCGTAGTTGAATCAAATTGAAATAAGATAAGAATTGTTAAACCTAACTTTCACTTGGAAAGACTGGCCTTAGAAATTGCCAACGCCTGAAAATAAAAGATGCTTTTTGTGAGCGTTTTTTGAACGGCCGAGCCCCCGTTGGACACCTGTGGTCCAATAGGTAGAACATGCTAAATACATACAAACACTGTACTTTAAACTCTCCTAGGCAGACACCTAGCTTGAGCAATACTTTCTGGACCTATTGGGTTTGCAAAATGAAATGTGACGATGTTCGTTTTAACGAAAGGACAATGTCACTACTCACACGCTGAACACGCTGCGGGATATCATTATAAACTCTACCTGTACAAATGCCCTTTTTGTTTGCCGCAGATAGCCAACGTTTTGTTGCATAATAAGACGAAATGGGATACCGGGACTGAGTTGCTTGATGACAACATGGATGACCGTTTACAGGTTTCTGAACGGCGTCCAATCCTTGTTGTCTGCTACACCAATCATGCCCTTGATCAGTTTCTAGAAGGAATCCACAAGTTTCATCCCCAGGGTATCGTTCGCATTGGAGGGCGAAGCAAGAGCGATATCATGAAGGAGTGTAGTTTGTCCGAGCGGAAGTTCAAGATGCACAAGGTAAGAGTAGACTATCACGTGGAGAATGGCGTTTAGGCTGCACGGTTTTTCCCTTCTTGGGAGTATTCTCTCGAACTTTCACCGCGTTTGTAATCGACACCTGCCGACGAAACGTTGCCTCAAGCAAACACCTTCGCGCCAGCAAATCAAATGGTGAAAGAGCCACGCTTCCTCGTCACACCCACGGCTTGATGAAATCTAATGAACCAAAGAACACACAGTCCACCACGAGTTATGAAGCGAAATTTGAATTATTCTTTACAACGTGTAAAATAAAGTAAAAACCTGCGTACAAACAAAGCAGTATTCAGTGGAGAAATCTCTGTCAATGACAAAGCAGAGATACTTTTAATTAAATTATACTTTGTTGGTTTTAATTATCTGTTCCCACACGTTCTTAGTGGAGGGCGTCTTTAAGTTTGTGTACTCAAAGCAATTGGCGAAAAACGTAATTCTTCACAACGATTCTTCCCTTCGTTTGAGCCAGTACCCCATCTGCTATCCCGCCTTATAGTTTTAACGATTTCTCTTTCCTTCCCTTCAATCAGGACAAATCAGCTCCCGTTCACATAAGAAGAGCTTTTTACGATGCTCACCAGGAAATGGACCACACAACAGCAAAATTGCAATCAGCAGCGGAAGAATTACAGAGATGCTTTGAAAACTTGCTTCATGAAGATGACCTTCATCAACGTGCGTCAAGCATGACTACTCTTCAGTACCAGTCCCTGAAAGAGCCCTTTGACGGATTAGTTGCACGAAGGGACAGCGCTATTCTGCATTGGTTACAGCTATCTTTGAGCTTGGCCAACCCAGGTAACAGAGGTTTTGGTTTGTTTGTTTGTTTTTTTCTGGTGTTTTGAGGACATCCTTACTTTTCTTTAGTTTGCTGATATAAGTTAAGATCTGAGCCAAGCTTTGTGTTGCTAATAACACACCAGGTGGCTACAATTCCCAACAAATACCTTTGTGGTCCCGGTGTGCTCCTAAAGCCCTTACCTCTCCGGGAAAACTCTGCAATTAAGCAGAAACATATGCCTATAGCTAGCAAAAGTATGAGGGAAAGGTCAGGGCCAGAGTCCATCTCCTTACCCCCAAAACTGCAACTATCGTGGCTTACCGTAGTATCGGTTCTTTTCGCTTTCCAGGGATAGTTCAAAGGTCCCGCAAAGCACTAACTCACTATAGCAGAAAGCAATGATACGAAGCGACAGTCAAAACGTCGCAGTATTCATAGTCTAAGAGCTTTCCTTTATCGCTACCTCACCTAAGAAGCCCCTGGGTTAAAAAGCCCTCTATCACAATTACGTTTGTCAGTGCATCGAACTTTGATAAAGAACGAGTTCTCTTTTGTTGTTTGTTTGTCTTTTTAATAAATTTTTGATACCTCGTTTAGCTGTAGATGTTAGGACCAGCATCCCCTTCGTGCCATGCCGTGAAATCAAATAAGCATTTTGATGCTGTTTTTTGTTTAATTATCAGCATCTGTACAGCCCGTAGCAGTGTTCCCTCTAAATAGCCACTGTGGTGGACTGGAAAGAGTTTCGCGAGCCAATCTAGCCACTTTGTCTGGTGTTGCATGGGCCCCTGGGCTTGACGGGGTGCAAGGTGGATCCATTCAACTACGGGGAACTCCTGCTTCATTCGTTGAAATTCCAAATCGAGCTGGAAGTGACTTGGACACTAGGACCTCAATCACACTCCTCATGCACGTGTTTCCGGTCGGAAACAGAGGTCCTATCCTATGCTTCCATGAAGATGGCCTAGGAGTCCAAATTTGGCAAGAAGGCTTGGAAGAAGGGAAGGGTATACTAACGGCTCGTTTTGTCTGCAGAGATTTTTCCCAACCTCTCGCCCTTACCAAGGCAGTGTTGACCATGAACGCTTGGAACTTTATTGGTGCCTCTTATGATCACGATTCTGGGATTGCGAGTCTTTGGCATGATGGCAATGCAGTGGATGCGAAGTTTATAGGCAGCAAAATGGAATTAGCAACTCAGTTTTCCATCCGAATCGGAGCCATAGCTTCTGCTGGACCAGGTCATTGCTTTCAAGGGAGGTTTCGCGAGCTTTATATTTTCAATGAATCCCTCGGAAGAGAAATGGTCCGAACTGTTGGTGGAATTGCTCAGGAAGGTAATCGAGTGTGCCAGCCAGTTCACAAAACTGTGCCTACTGTAGAATCATACCCTTTCGCTTATTAAGTCACAACTAAGGTCATGAACAGTAGTAGTTCTAACTCTCGCTATTTGCGCTTCTCTAAAGGTGGCGCGGAAGCACAAGATGGGGATGATGAAGGAGGCGAGGAAGAAGAGGAAGACGACACTGAGGATCTGGATGTGGTGTACGAGGCAGATGTTATGCAGGACCAAAGACTTCTGGACAATGATGACGTAAGAGTGTTTGGCACGAAATCGGCGGGCCTGAAAGGAGCAAGGCTGAAGGTCGTGAATCCTTTTGCTTTTGACGGAGGATCTGACGACGGATGGCAGGTTCAGAACGCTGCTCAGCTTAAGAAGAGGTTAAAGAGAACGATCATTCAACAGCTGAGCAAAAAGGATTTCATGCCAGATGAAAGAGCAAAAATGGTGAGATATTGGAAAAAATGGAAACAAAACAAAGAAAACGCCCTATTTAGTTCGCCTAATTTTGCCTTCTCAAAAGGATTGCGGAGCTTCATTTTCATGCAGTCAGAATGTGCTGCAAGATGGCTCACTTTTAAAGTAGTTCTTCTGTGCTTGCCCTTACGCTTTAGCTTTGTTTGCGTCATGAGCGCAAAATTAACTTTCAAACGACCAGCACTGACTGATGGCAAGAGAAACCCTTTGCAAAAATAGGGCCGATATTTGAATAATAAATAGATCTAGCCAGGGCTAAATCAATCAATAAACTTGTACTCCACAAATCAGTTTACTTAAGGGCACATTCATGTGACTTCTTGAGGAAAGGGCTCAGTGATTTTAGAGGAAAATAATTTGCAAAACATTCCAAGGGTAAAACAAATCTTACATCGAGTTAATAGCCTTATATGTCCATCCAAAAATGGCAATAACCTTTGATCACGTTTAAGAGCCATAATGGCTCTTGATCACGGTAGATTAGGCCTGGAAAACAAATCAGGCCAATTTTTTGCCTTCGGCAAGTTTACTTTACAAAATCTTGCCAACAAATCTGGTGGCGTGTAAACCAGCCTGTTATACTTTTTATACGTCACAGCTGAGGTGAAATACAGTCGACTCCCGATAACTCGAACCCTCGCTAACTCGAACCTCGCGCTAACTCGAACCAAAATCGATTTCCCCTGGATTTCCGTCATACTTTCACTGTAATTTTACCCTCGGTAACTCGAACCCTCGATAACTCGAACTCCCGCTAACTCGAACCAATTTTCGTTTCCCCTCAGGTCATTTTCTATATAATTTTACCCTTGATAACTCGAACCATGTTTTGAGCCCTTAAAAAGTCGGGAAAAAAGCCGTCTACTGGCGTCCGAAACATTGAATTTTGGATTTCCTATTAAGGTGTTGTAGGAGTATAGTTTACTAATGGAGGCTGATGTTGATTGTCACAGGCTAACGTGAAGCAGCTTTACTTCTCAAACAGTAAAACGCATGCTCTGTTTAGGCTATGTTTTGTTACGGTACGTTCTGATTTATAATCTAAAAGTACCTTCTAATTTTCACTTGACATTTCTACAATTAAATGTGATTAAAATGTTCAATGTGCAGTAAAAACTGTTTTTTTACCTTACCCTCGGCTATTTTCTGCGAGCTCCCGATAACTCGAACTCCCGATAACTCGAACTTTTTTCGATTTCCCTTGAAGGTTCGAGTTATCGGGAGTCGACTGTAATATCATGAGGCGCTGTTTTTATCATACAGACCTCAGACAGAATGCAGTATTTCACAATTTTGCAAGACAAATTGAACTCATTCAATATTCAGGACGATCGAAGCAAGCGTGGGCTTTTAGCGAGACCGTTCAAAAAATGTCCAAAATCACCTCTACAGCTAGCCGGTTCTCGGACTGGCCAAATTTGCAGTGCGAGCCGTTGTGCTTGAATGAACATTAATAGAGTTACGCTCAGAATTTATTATAAAATTATAGAATTTATTATGTTTATTTTTTATGTAATGGTTCATAACGAGGTGTAATCTTAAAAAGTGTTTGATACGCGCGGCATTTTGAGTACTCCTGCATACGATGTTCATGAACGACTGAAAACAAACGGCGCAGTGATTAAAATCGCAAAAGAGGCTAATAATCAATAAAAGAAATATAATTTAGTGAAACATTTTCAGAAACAACAATTTTCATTCACGAACACAAGTATTAAAGTGTCTCTAAAAATCCTGAGTCTCTCAGCTTAAAGCTTAAGCTTATGTTTTAAGCCGGCTTCCCGGTGTTTGCGTTTTTCAAAGATGAACTCGAGGCAAGAAAATCGCTTCAAGCCTTCTCTTTACGGCAAAAATTATAACTAAATACTCTTCGGAACGTTTTCTTCCTATTTGCGGTGAGAAGATGTCTAAAGGCTTTTTAAATTTCTGTAAGCTTATATCAAACGTGATACTAGGTTAGATCATTGTGTCAGATCTTACAAACGTGCATATACTAGCGTAAGCCGCATAAACTACGCTCGACTTCATGAAATTAGATAAAGAAAAAACAAACATCAAATACAATAAATACTCAGGCTTGCCATTCCGAATGCTGCTCCTCAAAGCTATCAAGTAAGGCCAGAATCGCTCGAGACTTTTTAACCCTCTTACGCATCAAGAACGGTGGAAAACGAAAACGATATCATCCGAAATCGGATTTCCGACTTTGACAAGCGACGCATTTCTCAACCAAAACCCAATAAACAAGACAGTTAAAAAAATCACACGTTGACACAAAACTCTGTAAGCTTTAGCTGTCAAAGTAAACAAGTTTCAAGATGCTGCGTAAATTTTTCCCATGAACTCACCTGTCAAATTTTGACCAATCAGAGCACAAAAATTGGACGTAGAGTGTGACCAACGCGTGACCATGGTGAGAAAGTCGAAAGCAACTGTCTTTCCTGCCTGTAACAGCTCGCTGAATTTTCGCGACTGAGGTCAGTTTTAAATCAAAATTTAAATAGTGCGGCACATAAGCACAACAAATTTCATATGAATTTAAAAAATTAAACTTGAGCCTACGATCATTTGAAAACTAGTAACTTGTCAGCGGAAAACTTTAAAAAGTAATTAGACCTCGGTGGGTCGACACCTGAGCACGTGATACGGTCAGGTGATACTGGTCAGCGGATACCCTGTTGCTGTCAATTGATCACAACATTGATGTGCAATATGAGTACAATATCAGTTTGTTCCTGTGCTCCCAAACTAGCTAGAAAGTGTGAGATTAAACATTGGTTTTCCAGTGGTGCGGACGGACGGTCATTCAGTGTACGGTCACGTGCTTACCAAATTTTCTCGGCTGGATAGATTGTCTTAGCTATGGGGCTGCGCTCGCGCGCGCGTGGAGCTCCGCTAAATAACTTACACATTTTAAGGCTCTCGTTCATGTTTCTAGACCAAGGAATTTTCACATGAGGGTAAGTTTTAGGAAATATGAGAATTATTATTTAGTTTTGGCGACTTGTATACAAAGAGTCCATATAGAGATGACAGAATGCATATGGATTCGATTCGCGCGAATATTAACGGGAAGCTTCAAAAAATCACTCGCCCATTCGCTTCAGCTTTGTAATATGAAACTTCTTACTTTGATTTAATATTTCTTTTAACACGCAGGTACGAAATGTGTGGAGGTTAAGCGTCAACGATCGCTGGAGTTTGTACCGACGTTGGCTTAAGGATGTGAGCGATGGGTACCGCCAAACTATCTCGCTTTTCCAGGAACAATTTGAAGCGGGTGCTAAGCGACTGAAGGACATCAAAAACATGGAAGACTTTGAGATACTTAAGAATGCCGATGTCGTTGGCATGACTACCACAGGTATGTTTGATTAGTAATTCTGACAGCATCCGACTTGCACAATGACGAGAGGAAAGGACTGAAAAAAAGGGGGTCTAAGTAAAATAAGGGTACAGCAGTTTCTCAGTCCACCACGCGCGCTACCTCTACCACTGCCGTTTTACAATAAGTGCCATAGGATTTTAGCGTAACCTAGCCATGGCTTGATAACCAGACCATCGATCGTACTGATTATCAGGGATTCGTTTCGGGCCATTTTATCAGCTGAAGACTTTTTCAAACCCTTTCATGCGTTACTTTTTCATGATTTTCATGTAGGCGCGGCAAAGTTCCGCAAGCTGCTACAGAGACTGAAACCGCGAATAACGATTGTAGAGGAAGCCGCTGAGGTTCTCGAGTCGCACATTGTTACTTCTCTGACTTCCGGATGCCAGCACTTGATTTTGATTGGTGATCACCAGCAACTCCGCCCTAATCCCACTGTCTTTGAACTCGCTAAACACTACAGTTTGGACGTATCCCTCTTTGAAAGAATGGTGAAAACTGGAATGCCTTTTGAGCGACTACGTCTACAGCACCGGATGAGACCGGAAATATCCAAGATGCTCGACCACATTTACTTCAACCCAAAGTTGGAGAATCACGAATCAGTGCTGAATTTTGAAAACATCAAGGGCGTGAATCGTAACATTTTCTTTGTGGATCATGACGAGAGCGAGGTAGGTCTTAGTGTCATAGAATGCAATACTGCCTTTATGCGTAGCTGTCACTATTAACAGTATACTGCTAGCTATGTGAAAAGGCAGAGTCTAAAGGGCACAAAAAAAGCCACGAGGAGAATGGTGAGAAGTTGGGTGAAATTCTATAAAACTCAATTTGGTGAATTCAGGATTTATCTCTACCAATGTCTTACCCACCCAACGTTGCGCTGTCATTAACATCTGCAATGCACAGCTGACTTACTGTATTCAGGTGTAAGAAGTATTTCAATTGTTAGCAGGTAGGGTCACTAGTTACTGCTTATATTTCTCAGTAGTATCCCAGAAATCGAATGTAATGTAGTTTCGAGATTCAAATTTCACATTCGTTACCGTAATACAGTTTCGTCCCGGAAACCTTTTGTACTGTCACACCTCCACTATTATCACGAAATGTTCGTTTTTGGAATTACAGGAATATCAGGAGGAGGGACGAAGCAGGTCAAATGAACACGAGGCAAAGTTTGTGGCTGCTCTTTGTCGCTACTTAATCCTTCAAGGTTATGAAAGGGAAAAGATTACAGTCCTAACAGCCTACACAGGACAATTAATCCAACTGAAGAAGGAGATGCCTAAGGATTTCTTTCGGGGAGTGCGAGTATGTGCGGTGGACAATTTCCAAGGAGAAGAAAACGACATCATCCTGCTGTCGCTTGTTCGAAGCAATGAGGACGGAAAAATCGGTTTTCTTCAGACTGACAATCGGGTTTGTGTCGCACTGTCTCGGGCCAAGAAAGGTTTCTATTGCATTGGCAACATCAGTCTTCTGAAAGAAAAGAGCGAGCTGTGAAAAAAGATAATGGACGAAATGGAAGAGCGGGGTAATGTCGGAAACGCTTTGACTCTCTCATGTCAAAACCTCCCACGGAACTTGATTCAGTCGTCATGTGCTGATGACTTCAAGAATGCACCCGAAGGGGGATGTACAGTGCCTTGTGTTACCAGACTAGCTTGCGGTCACGTATGTGAAATGGTATGTCATCCAACAGACCCGGAGCATAAGGAGTATGAATGTAAGAAGCCATGCGAAAAAATCATCTGCACAAGAAATCACAAGTGCCCTCGGCTGTGTTACCAAGACTGTGGACCATGCATGAAACCAGTGACAAAGATCCTGCCCGGTTGTGGCCATACTCAGAGTGTGCCTTGCTACAAGGATCCATCTGAAGTGAAATGCACGTCACCTTGTCCTAAGTTTCTACCCGCATGTGGGCATCCTTGCCAAAACATTTGCTCTGACGAGTGTACAGTGGAGTGTACCGCCATTACACTGAAAACCTGGCCCTGTGGTCACGAAAACGAGACAGCGTGTCACGTGAATCCTATGCAGACTCCCTGTGAGGCACCCTGTGGAGAGACTTTGAAGTGTGAACACCCTTGTGTTGGTAAGTCTGGAAGCAAGTTCTTAAAGTAGATCGATTAACTCATTTACCTATTTCCTGCAACAAAAAGTAGGCATCGACCAAAGAAGTTACATTTAACCTTGACAAATTGTGATGATCTCTCATCTCTCCCTTAAGCTGGTAGAAAGTTTGATACTGACTCTCAGAGGCCATTTCAGCAATGTTTAATTTCTCATGTTTTATTATTATTATTATTATTATTATTATTATTATCATCATTATTATTATTGTTAATGATATATGAAATAAATCATATACGAACTGCGGAAATGAAATGAAAATGAAGAAATGATCGTCGCAGTGAACGCAATTTATGCAATTGCGTAAAGAAGCCTGAAAAAAATTCAGGACTTCAACGGTAGTTTGTCCGAGCGGAAGTTCAAGATGCACAAGGTAAGAGTAGACTATCACGTGGAGAATGGCGTTTAGGCTGCACGGTTTTTCCCTTCTTGGGAGTATTCTCTCGAACTTTCACCGCGTTTGTAATCGACACCTGCCGACGAAACGTTGCCTCAAGCAAACACCTTCGCGCCAGCAAATCAAATGGTGAAAGAGCCACGCTTCCTCGTCACACCCACGGCTTGATGAAATCTAATGAACCAAAGAACACACAGTCCACCACGAGTTATGAAGCGAAATTTGAATTATTCTTTACAACGTGTAAAATAAAGTAAAAACCTGCGTACAAACAAAGCAGTATTCAGTGGAGAAATCTCTGTCAATGACAAAGCAGAGATACTTTTAATTAAATTATACTTTGTTGGTTTTAATTATCTGTTCCCACACGTTCTTAGTGGAGGGCGTCTTTAAGTTTGTGTACTCAAAGCAATTGGCGAAAAACGTAATTCTTCACAACGATTCTTCCCTTCGTTTGAGCCAGTACCCCATCTGCTATCCCGCCTTATAGTTTTAACGATTTCTCTTTCCTTCCCTTCAATCAGGACAAATCAGCTCCCGTTCACATAAGAAGAGCTTTTTACGATGCTCACCAGGAAATGGACCACACAACAGCAAAATTGCAATCAGCAGCGGAAGAATTACAGAGATGCTTTGAAAACTTGCTTCATGAAGATGACCTTCATCAACGTGCGTCAAGCATGACTACTCTTCAGTACCAGTCCCTGAAAGAGCCCTTTGACGGATTAGTTGCACGAAGGGACAGCGCTATTCTGCATTGGTTACAGCTATCTTTGAGCTTGGCCAACCCAGGTAACAGAGGTTTTGGTTTGTTTGTTTGTTTTTTTCTGGTGTTTTGAGGACATCCTTACTTTTCTTTAGTTTGCTGATATAAGTTAAGATCTGAGCCAAGCTTTGTGTTGCTAATAACACACCAGGTGGCTACAATTCCCAACAAATACCTTTGTGGTCCCGGTGTGCTCCTAAAGCCCTTACCTCTCCGGGAAAACTCTGCAATTAAGCAGAAACATATGCCTATAGCTAGCAAAAGTATGAGGGAAAGGTCAGGGCCAGAGTCCATCTCCTTACCCCCAAAACTGCAACTATCGTGGCTTACCGTAGTATCGGTTCTTTTCGCTTTCCAGGGATAGTTCAAAGGTCCCGCAAAGCACTAACTCACTATAGCAGAAAGCAATGATACGAAGCGACAGTCAAAACGTCGCAGTATTCATAGTCTAAGAGCTTTCCTTTATCGCTACCTCACCTAAGAAGCCCCTGGGTTAAAAAGCCCTCTATCACAATTACGTTTGTCAGTGCATCGAACTTTGATAAAGAACGAGTTCTCTTTTGTTGTTTGTTTGTCTTTTTAATAAATTTTTGATACCTCGTTTAGCTGTAGATGTTAGGACCAGCATCCCCTTCGTGCCATGCCGTGAAATCAAATAAGCATTTTGATGCTGTTTTTTGTTTAATTATCAGCATCTGTACAGCCCGTAGCAGTGTTCCCTCTAAATAGCCACTGTGGTGGACTGGAAAGAGTTTCGCGAGCCAATCTAGCCACTTTGTCTGGTGTTGCATGGGCCCCTGGGCTTGACGGGGTGCAAGGTGGATCCATTCAACTACGGGGAACTCCTGCTTCATTCGTTGAAATTCCAAATCGAGCTGGAAGTGACTTGGACACTAGGACCTCAATCACACTCCTCATGCACGTGTTTCCGGTCGGAAACAGAGGTCCTATCCTATGCTTCCATGAAGATGGCCTAGGAGTCCAAATTTGGCAAGAAGGCTTGGAAGAAGGGAAGGGTATACTAACGGCTCGTTTTGTCTGCAGAGATTTTTCCCAACCTCTCGCCCTTACCAAGGCAGTGTTGACCATGAACGCTTGGAACTTTATTGGTGCCTCTTATGATCACGATTCTGGGATTGCGAGTCTTTGGCATGATGGCAATGCAGTGGATGCGAAGTTTATAGGCAGCAAAATGGAATTAGCAACTCAGTTTTCCATCCGAATCGGAGCCATAGCTTCTGCTGGACCAGGTCATTGCTTTCAAGGGAGGTTTCGCGAGCTTTATATTTTCAATGAATCCCTCGGAAGAGAAATGGTCCGAACTGTTGGTGGAATTGCTCAGGAAGGTAATCGAGTGTGCCAGCCAGTTCACAAAACTGTGCCTACTGTAGAATCATACCCTTTCGCTTATTAAGTCACAACTAAGGTCATGAACAGTAGTAGTTCTAACTCTCGCTATTTGCGCTTCTCTAAAGGTGGCGCGGAAGCACAAGATGGGGATGATGAAGGAGGCGAGGAAGAAGAGGAAGACGACACTGAGGATCTGGATGTGGTGTACGAGGCAGATGTTATGCAGGACCAAAGACTTCTGGACAATGATGACGTAAGAGTGTTTGGCACGAAATCGGCGGGCCTGAAAGGAGCAAGGCTGAAGGTCGTGAATCCTTTTGCTTTTGACGGAGGATCTGACGACGGATGGCAGGTTCAGAACGCTGCTCAGCTTAAGAAGAGGTTAAAGAGAACGATCATTCAACAGCTGAGCAAAAAGGATTTCATGCCAGATGAAAGAGCAAAAATGGTGAGATATTGGAAAAAATGGAAACAAAACAAAGAAAACGCCCTATTTAGTTCGCCTAATTTTGCCTTCTCAAAAGGATTGCGGAGCTTCATTTTCATGCAGTCAGAATGTGCTGCAAGATGGCTCACTTTTAAAGTAGTTCTTCTGTGCTTGCCCTTACGCTTTAGCTTTGTTTGCGTCATGAGCGCAAAATTAACTTTCAAACGACCAGCACTGACTGATGGCAAGAGAAACCCTTTGCAAAAATAGGGCCGATATTTGAATAATAAATAGATCTAGCCAGGGCTAAATCAATCAATAAACTTGTACTCCACAAATCAGTTTACTTAAGGGCACATTCATGTGACTTCTTGAGGAAAGGGCTCAGTGATTTTAGAGGAAAATAATTTGCAAAACATTCCAAGGGTAAAACAAATCTTACATCGAGTTAATAGCCTTATATGTCCATCCAAAAATGGCAATAACCTTTGATCACGTTTAAGAGCCATAATGGCTCTTGATCACGGTAGATTAGGCCTGGAAAACAAATCAGGCCAATTTTTTGCCTTCGGCAAGTTTACTTTACAAAATCTTGCCAACAAATCTGGTGGCGTGTAAACCAGCCTGTTATACTTTTTATACGTCACAGCTGAGGTGAAATACAGTCGACTCCCGATAACTCGAACCCTCGCTAACTCGAACCTCGCGCTAACTCGAACCAAAATCGATTTCCCCTGGATTTCCGTCATACTTTCACTGTAATTTTACCCTCGGTAACTCGAACCCTCGATAACTCGAACTCCCGCTAACTCGAACCAATTTTCGTTTCCCCTCAGGTCATTTTCTATATAATTTTACCCTTGATAACTCGAACCATGTTTTGAGCCCTTAAAAAGTCGGGAAAAAAGCCGTCTACTGGCGTCCGAAACATTGAATTTTGGATTTCCTATTAAGGTGTTGTAGGAGTATAGTTTACTAATGGAGGCTGATGTTGATTGTCACAGGCTAACGTGAAGCAGCTTTACTTCTCAAACAGTAAAACGCATGCTCTGTTTAGGCTATGTTTTGTTACGGTACGTTCTGATTTATAATCTAAAAGTACCTTCTAATTTTCACTTGACATTTCTACAATTAAATGTGATTAAAATGTTCAATGTGCAGTAAAAACTGTTTTTTTACCTTACCCTCGGCTATTTTCTGCGAGCTCCCGATAACTCGAACTCCCGATAACTCGAACTTTTTTCGATTTCCCTTGAAGGTTCGAGTTATCGGGAGTCGACTGTAATATCATGAGGCGCTGTTTTTATCATACAGACCTCAGACAGAATGCAGTATTTCACAATTTTGCAAGACAAATTGAACTCATTCAATATTCAGGACGATCGAAGCAAGCGTGGGCTTTTAGCGAGACCGTTCAAAAAATGTCC